CAGTTTGGTGTAGTGGTTAAGTGTGCGGACTCTAATCTGGGAGAACCGGGTTTGATTCCCCACTCCTCCACTTGCACCTGCTGATGTGACCTTGGGTCAGTCGCAAGCTCTGGCACAGCTGTCCTTGAAAAAGAGCAGTTTCTGTCAAGAGCTCTCTCAGCCCCACCCACCTCACAGGGTGTCTGTTGTGGGGAGGGGAAGGGAAAGGAGTTTGTAAGATGCTCTGAGACACCTTTGGGTAATGAAGGGTGGGGTATAAATCCAATCTCCTCCTCCTCCTTCCTAAAATGTGGTGCCTAAAACTGGACACAGGACTCCAGGTGAGGCCTGACCACAAGAAGTGCTGGCGGCTACAAGCATGGACGGCTTCAAAAGGGAATTAGATAAGCATATGGAGCAGAGGTCCATCAGTGGCTATGAGCCACCAGGTATAGACAGGAACTCTCAGTCTGGGGCAAGGGATGCTCTGTCATCTTGGTGCTTGGGGGGGGGTCAACAGTGGGAGGGCTTCTAATGTCCTGGCCCCACTGGTGGACCTCCTGATGGCATTGGTATTTCTGGCCACTGCGTGATACAGAGTGTTGGACTGGATGGGCCTTTGGCCTGATCCAACATTGGCCTCTCTTATGTTCTTATAGCAGAATAGAGTGGAACTACCACCTCCCTTGATCTGGACACAATGCTTCTGTTAATGCATCCTAGGATTGCATTAGCTTTCTTCGCAGTCACATCGCACTGCAGGCTCATGTTTAGCTTGTGATCAACCAGAACACCTAGATCTCTTTCACAAGTGCTGCTGTCAAGCCAAGTCCCTCCCGTTCTATATCTGTGCCTTTGATTTTTTGTACCTAAGTGTAGGACTTTGCACTTCTCTCTATTGAAATTCATACTCTCTATTTAATGAGTATATAGAGGGCCAGCTGAGGACAGTCCTGGAAACCTCAGGTGTGAGAGCACTACCAAAGGCCTCAGCAGGTCAACCAAGGCAGAGCTGAGGATACAGGATTTTCTGTGAGAATTTTCTGTGAGGAAAAGTCAGTGGTTTCAGCAAACATAGCTTCAATTCTGACATTTAATGGCATAAAACACATAGACTTCAAAAATAACAAAACTGGGGCAAAAATAATATGATGGATCCACTCAAACAAGTATGTACGCTAATACAGTCACTTTTATACTTGAAAATTATTTCTAAGTATACAAAATATCAAGGCATACAAACCAAAGCCATACAATATCTCAATGATATACAGAATTATAAAACTTAATGATATACAAACATTACAGTAGTCTCAAACAATACACTAGTTGCTGCTAACAGCCAAAGAATTTACAAAGCAGCCGGCTTTTGCTTGGTTTCATATCATAACTTCATCAGAAGCAAGTCAACTGCAAAACAGAATCAGTTACAGATCATTCATATAATTTTTAAGGTGATATAGTATAATTACAAGGAAAATTCTTACACAATATAAGGTAGTGCCATATTTATTGCGGGTTTACAAATTTACTAGTGTACTGAGACTATTGTAATGTTTGTATATCATTAAGTTTCACAAATATATCATTAAGTTTGATCTGAGAGCACGAACATTTAGCCAAGTTAATGGTCCTATCTCTGTCAGACCCCCAGTCCAGTTACACTCAACAACTCTCTCTTGGCAGTGATAAGTTTATTGAAATGTATGCAAGATCCAGTAAGTCAGTGTGTTAGAGTTAAAGACTTTTGGCGGGTACAAGCTTCATACAAGAGAGCCAGTTTGGTGTAGTGGTTAAGTGCGCAGACTCTAATCTGGGAGAACTGGGTTTGAGTCCCCATTCCTCCACTTGCACCTGGCTGGATGACCTTGGGCAAGCCGTAGTTCTGATAAGGGCTGTCCTTGAAAAATAGCAGTTTCTTTCAAGAGCTCTCTCAGCCCCACCCACCTCACAGGGTGTCTGTTGTGGGGAGGGGAAGGGAAAGGAGTTTGTAAGCTGCTCTGAGACCCCCTTGGGCGGGGTATAAATCCAATCTTTTCTTCTTCTTAATATAGATAATTCGAATAAAAACCCCTTCCTTCCCCCATGCATACGTCACATTCACATCATGCCTAACTAAGTGAAAGATATATGTTTTGGTTATCTGCAGCTCAAGCTGGTACAGAGGGACTCTCAAGGACACCTCTCTGGGAAATGCAAAGGAGGGGCAATTTGGAAGAAAGTTATGACTTCCAGAAGCAAACGTTCACTCACCCCCCCTCCCTGCAGGAATTCCCTTCCCCCAATATCTATGGCTACCAAAACAAGCAAAGTGAAGCATGGTTTGACATTCTGCCCCCCTCAAGCATCACTTGATCCCCCAGGCTTGAGTTGGTTACGTTTATGGAAAGCACAAACTAATTTGGCAGCTTTTACGTGTGAGATTGCACCCACTCATTATGGGCCAGGTCACAGTCCTTCCATTTGACCAGATAGAAGAGGCACCCCCCTCCTCAACTTAGAATCTAAAATGTCTTCCACTTCTTAGTGCATCATGCTGTCAACCATTAGAGGAGGAGGAACTGGTGGGTGTGGCTTCCACTTTGTGGGTCCAGGATCCCTCTTCAGCAGACTGAAATGAAACACCGGATGCAGATAACAGAGCGTTTTTGGCAACTCTACTTCCACAGCCACTTTATTGATAAGTTGCACAACTTTGAAAGGGCCTATGTATTTCCACCCGTTTTTACCCTGGTTGCACTCTTCTTAGAAGTTTGGTAGAAATGTACACTGAGTCCCCAGGCTTTAAGTCCCATTCTGGCCAGCTCCCTTTGTCGGCATAACGCTTGTCATCCT